AATAGGAGATTTCAATACACCACTTTCAATGATGCACCAGAATAAAATTCAGCAATAATTCAGAAGAGCTAAATAACACAAGGGTCTAACTCATCATCATATATATGTGATGCAGAACATGTGCAGAACATATCCACCCAGTAGCAGCACAGTACACATTCTTTTCCAACGCATGTGATTCATTCTCCAGAACAGAGTTGGTATTAGACCACAAAGGAAGCCTCCATAAAAACTTTCAAAATATTAAAATAGTACAAAGCTTCCTCTCTGATCATAATAAGATCAGACCAGAAATAAATAACATAATGCGGAAAATAAATTCACATGGAAGTTGAATAACAACTTTCTTAAAAGCTACTGGGAAACAGAAAATTGAAGAAATTTTAAATTCTTACAACCAAATAAGAATGAAAAGACACACATCAAAACCCTTTAGACTCAGCAAAACAAGAGCTCAGAAGGATTTAGGGCAGTAAATGCACACATCAAAGAGAACGAAAGTGCCACAAGGAACACTCGTTGTCTTCCCCGCCTGTCAGTTTTATTCTAACTTCTTTGGTGAGATCTTTATATGCACAAATGTGTCTAAATTTTACAAAACTGAATTCACTCTCATGACTCATTCCAACCCAGCAGCAAACAGCTCTCACACGCACTGGCATCAGGCCCATTCTGGCTCCCAGCCTCCTCGTAAGACGGGGCAGAGCTGCCCCTGTGGGTTTCCCAAACTGTAGCTCTTATGGGAGTAGAAAGCCTCAACTTTCTCCCACGGAGCAGCTGGTGGTTTCAAACTGCTGATCTTCTGGTTTTCAGCCCAACTCATAAGAAAAATGACACTATGGGGTACACACCACGCCTTCTAATGCTGAACCATTTGAGACTCAAAGGGCAGCGTTACCCTGATGTCAAGGCTCAGAAGGGTTAGGAAAGAAGAAGGAATGAGAACAGAAAACACACAGAGGGAGGCGGACACGTTTTGTTACATTGTGGGGATTGCAATCAGTGACATGAAAAAAATGTGTATGAATTGTTGAAAGGAAAATCGATCTTCTTTGTGAGCCTTCATCCAATTCACAATAAAAAGTTGAAAAAAACCACATAAGATTGAAGGGAAGGGACTTAATTTTTGGCATCAAATAGTCTATCAAAGAAAACTAGAAGTGCATTCTCCATAGAAGATAAATTAGAGTGTCGAATCTCTTAAAAATTAAACACTTATGTTATCAAAACACGTTAATACCATATCATTTGATCTTCCATTTGACCCATTTTAAAGTTGTTCTAGTTCTTAATATTTCTGCTTTCTTTTCAACTGGGGTTTTCCTCCATTTTATTTTGTTATTGTTAGTTGTTTTGATATTTTCCTCTTTGCATGTTTTTTTGTTATATGAAATCTAGGATGGCTGACTCGATAGAGACAGTAATTGGAGTAATGATTTCTTGGAGGTAGGGCAAAGAAGATGGAAATCTCATAACAAGGAATACATGAAAGAAGAGAATGTTCTAAAACTGATTGTGGTAATGCTTGTACAACTCTTCTTGATATGATGGAACTACTAAATTCTATGCTATATGGATTATATCCCAATAAAACTTTTTAAAAGCAACAACAACAACAGAAACACTTTACCCACAAAGGACAGAGGAAGCCTCTTGCTTGGGGGAGGCTGGATGTGGAGTGGAATTGACAATGATATATTGAATAGTAGTCTAATCTCTAAAACATACAGAAAAATTCAAGAACTCAACAACAAAATAAAAAAATAAACAACCCAAACACAAAATGTGCAAAGGACATAAATGAACACCTCACTAAAGAGAATACCGAGATAGCCAATAGATGTACGAAAAGATACTTGTGATCATTAGCCATTACAAAGATGCAAATCAAAACTACAATGAGATACTATATGCCACTTTAAAGTGGCAATGATTGAAAACAAAACACAGAAAATAACAAATGCTGGTGCGATGTAGGGGACTGGAACTCACATTAATGGTGAATTGTGAAATAGTGGAAAAGCATCCTGGCAAACGACATGGTGCTTCCTCCAAAAGTTAGAACTAGAAATACCCTAACTGTTTGGTGAGTATTCTAGGATAGATGATCAGTGACATGAGTAGACATGCACACCTGTGCTCATCAGAGCCTTATTCATAAGAGCAAAGAGATGGAAATCACCTAAGTGCCCATCAACATGATGGATAAACAAATTTGTGCTACATACCTACATCCCATCAGATATCATGCAACTGTAAAAAATAGTGCTGAATGTCGACAACATCTGATAACAGGGGTGAAACAGAAGCACATTGTGCTGAGTGAAGTAAATTAATCACAAAGAGCTGTAGGATCTCACTTTTGTAAAAAAGCTAAGAATGGGTATACCTACAGAAAGCAATTTGTTTGATGGTTATGAGAGATTAGAGGGATATGAGGGAGGTAATTTTCTAGATAGTAGATACTATCAGTGGCAAGGGTATTAGTAAATATCCATATTAGTAATATCCAATATGCATATTTGCACAACTTGTCCAAAACAAATGAACACCCCGAGAAAGATGGAAGAATAGATGACAACATTGGTAAATACTACAACATATAATTTTGCAGCCAGCAATAATCACAACCAAAAAAACTATGTGCGTGGTTACACAGGTTGACCTTTATGCATCCATATGTATGGGGAGGCACTTGTGAGTATATGAGTATGCATTTACTAATGTATTTGTAGTCATATTATATACATGTTTTTTGGTACCACATGTACATATAACAAAGTACATAGGGGCAAAATTATGGATACTACCTAGTCATAACCAAGCACTTCATAGATTGTGTTGCTGGGTTTGCAGGGTAGTGACCATCGTCTCATGAAATCACTCAAGACAACTGGCTAACACAGTTCAGAAAGACAATGTTCCATATCCTCCTTTGGTGCATAGCACCTGGGGTCTTAAGAGTGTGTGAGTGGCCTTCGAAGATGCAACTACTAGTCTTTAGTCATCTGGGACAAATGAGCATGAGGGAAGCCAAAGACTCAAAGTAGAAACTAGTCCACAGGATTAAGTGCCCCTTTGATCCACAACGCCACATAGCCCGAGACAAGAAGAACGAGACGGTGCCCGGCTGCCGCTACCAACCATTCGAACCAGGGACACAATACAAAGTCCCTGATACAAAGAATAAGAAAGGTGAACCAGAGGCCAGAATTATTGGACCATTAGAGAGCAGAGGAACTTCTGGGACGATTGTCCTAAGATACCCTGAGAACTTGGAACTAAAACTATTTCCAACGGTAGCCTTCTATCCAAATAATAAAGCTGCATTATCATAGAAACCATGTCACCTGTGATTATTGTGTTCCTTTAAATAATTAACTACATGAAATCAAATGCTCAACATTGACCCTCAAACAAAGAGGAGATGCTAAGTGGGGGCAAGGAAGTCATTTGAATGGAAACGGGAAAAGAATAGAAATAACGGGAATGGTGACACCTTATGAAAAATGTAATGAATGTCATGGGTCAAGTTAAGTAGAAATGGTGTGGTGGGGTGACATTTCTGAATATGGCTCTTCTAACCAAGTCTCTCTAACTCCCACCAGATGATTAGGTGGGACTCTGTAAATAGGGTATGTGTGACCCTAATGGTGGGGATTGGTCAGTGTTTGTTAGCACCCCGTTGGCTATAATGATAAGCCATCTTTGAGGCAGGAGAGAGAGAAAGCCCAGGACCATCAGCAGAGCATGCTCCAGATGGATGTCTGAAGAGCAGAAGTCGAAACCCGAGGCCCCGGAGACTGTGGCAGAGAAGCAGGGCCCAGACTCGTAGGTAACTTCTCTTCCTTAGGTCTAAGCTTATGGCACTCTGATAGAGTGGCCCGGAGGCTTCCTGGTCCAGGAAGGCAGAGGCCAAGGGACCATATGGCTAAGAACCAGGGGACCAGAGAGACACTTTGCTGCTGACTGAGGACAGGTGTGGTGGTGGAACATGATTGTATCCTAGCCGTTTACTCATCTTGACATGTGGTAGTGTAATAACGTCCCTCGTAACCCCCATAATTGTGAGCATTGTCTGTAAGTTCTGTGTGGCCTTTGCCATGAAGTATTGACACCAGCATGGAAGTAGAGTGCCGTGGAAGGAGCAATTGGTGTCAGACCAGGTAAAGAGGGATGGGGCAGAGAAGCATGTCGGACCCTTGCCTCTCAGCGATAGGAAGGTCAGAGGAGGTCAGATAAGGCACCCGTGTTCCACACTGTTTACCTCGCTCGGTAACCTTTAACTGAAAACACGACAAAATAGTTCCAAACACACACACACACATCATGCACACTATCCGCAGATTGGACATAGTTCGGGAGGCCTAAAAATAGTACATATGTGCACTTGTCAACAATATCAGGCTCACAATGAGGACATGTACCATGATGCAGGATGGTTCCCACGCTTCCTACCTAGTCTGCCTCAAAGGTCTTTAGTTTTGTGCTCAGAGAGGCAGCCAGGGTGAGGAAATTGGGGAGATAAAGTGAAAAGAAAGAAAAGGGGAGAAAAGGTATAGCGGTTTTGAAGACACGTTTAGAGACAGTGGAAGTGAGCTGGCCGTAGTGGACGATGAAAGAAACCAGCATAAAGACTTGGTAGGCAGACTAGGAAAGTCGTCAGTGTGGTTCAGAGGAACTGACAAACAATTATAGCCCATCTGTGCGTGATGATAATATGGATCATCTAGACCATCATTGTTTCCTTTACTTGGCTTTTACAGAGGACCCGGTACACCATCTATATTCACGCACTCAATTGCTGAGATTACAAAAATGCCTAGAGATCATTTTAGTTAAGGCTTTATAAAATGTGAATGGCAATGTGGCTGTTGAAATGATGAATTCAATGATATGACTTTGAATATGGGAGTTAAATGACTGGAAACACAATTTCATCAGACTGTGTTTATTTGAGTTAAATAATTGATGTTTAAAATATTTAGACATGTACTCACCCAACAGACAGGAAAGGCTCCTTTGATTCAAGTCTATGGGGGAAAAAAACCATTAAAAATTCATTTTAATATGACAATATGCTGTGTATTCAAAAATCGCTTTTACACGAATGTGATAGAATTATTACACTTGTTTGGATAGAAATGCATAATTTACCACCAATATAAAGCTATCAATAATATATGAAGACCTAATCTGGGCTAATTTAAATTCTGAGTGAATTAATGTCGAGGCAACATGAAATGGGAGAGCCTTGAAATGGGAATACAGCATTTAAAAGACACATTAAGATCATAATGATGTTAGTTTAATTTTGATTTGTACTCTTTTGATCTATCTAGTCTCATTATTCACGGTAATTTGTTTGTAGAAATTCCAGTATAATAGCGATTTGTGGTTGTTGGAATAGTAAAGACATTTGTAATGTATTGGTTTATATCTTGGCTAAGTAATTCGTTTCCAAGGTAAATACTCCGTTGTGGAGAGGAAGGCAGCTCTCTTCTGCTGTAGGTCATTTACAAGCACCTAGATCTCCTGGCTGATCATGGAATAGCGATGTCTTATCTCCTTTGTGTCTCCAAAGAGCCTGGCTATTTTCTGTACCCTTAGTGCGCCACGAGGGAATGCTCATCGGAAGGCTCTGGTGAATTGTGATATCATGAGCAAGTCACTAGACCTTGGGTAGGTTTACTTTTTCTACTCATCTGTGATACAGCTAGGCAAACAACTAGAGGGAGAAGAGGTGGAAATAAAATTTTAAAATATGCTTGCATATGATTTAAAAGATCTGACTAGTATCAGATGAGCAAAGGGGAATTTACTTGAAAAACTTAGAGGGTTTCTATCTTATATGAAACAAGACCCGACAGAGCCATCTTCCTCTGTAACACGAGAGAGCTCTGGGGGTCAGACTGATTCCGGAGAAGGGTTTGTTTGGCTTTCAAGTGTATGAAGGTCCATGGGTGGTACAAATGGTTTGACTTCCAACTAGTAACCTAAAAATTGGCAATTCAAATCTACTCAATGTTACCATCGAAGATGGGCCTGGTGATCTACTTCCATAAATACTACAGCCAAGAAAACCCTGGGAAGAAGTCCTCCTCTGTAACCCAGTGGGTCACCACGAGTGAGAATTGACTCAAGGATTTTTAGATTTATAGGATTGCCTTACTTGTCCAGTGTTACTGTAAAAGAAATACCACAAATGGATGTCTTTCACAAACAGCACTTTTTCTTTAATAGTTGGGGAGACTAAAACTCCAAATACAGGGTGCCAGTCCCTAAGGAATGCTTTTGCTCCCTGTTTGTTCTGGGAGAAGCTCCGGGTCACCATGGAACATGCGTGGGCCTGGTCTTTCTTAGAGAAATCCTCTTGGCTTTAATCTTCCCCTGGATCTAGGATATTTTCAGTGAAGGAATCTCAAGTCCCAGATCTTCTTTCTTGGCGGTACTGAGGTCCCTTGACCTCTACACCCTTGTTTAATCTCCTTTTTATGTCCAAAGAGATTGGCTCAAGATAAAACTTAAACCTGTAGATTATATTCTTTCTCATTAACATAACTACCTGGAATCCTGTCCATGGATATCATTGACTTGAAAAATTGTTAAGATGTGGAAATTAATAGGCTCTATTCTTTCTGCTTTTGCAAATAATTGTAGCCTAGTAGTTGTTAGATTTTAGTGTATTTGTGTGATTTGTTTGTATGTAGCTGCAAACATCCAGTTCCTAATTGTTTACTCTTGACCTTGTCCCTTTTGCCTTTCACTACTGGCTGGGTATATGTCTCTTGGTGGCTAGCCCTAGGGTAGAGAGTAGTTTAAAACATTTTATATCTGATTCATCTTTTTGGAATTTTATTAGAAAGGCCGGTTTTTTCTTTTGGTGAAGTGACTGTGATGAAGGGAAATGATTTAATATGGCTTTTTGGGCCGTCGTATTGGTAACTCCCACCCAGTCTCTGGGTACAAATAAGGTGTTGAGATTTTCGCTCAGGGATTGGCTAGTTTTGACATTCTTCTGGGTAAAAGAGTGAGCCATTTCTGAAGCAGGCAGAGGGGAAACACCACGACCATCAAACAGGAAGAGCCACCAGGGGGTCCATGTGATCCCCCAGTCTGAATGGGTGGAGGCACCAGGGGTGGCGTCATACAGAACATGAGACAGGGAGGAGGAAGCGCATTGCGGCAGCGGTCAAAGGACCACATCCATAGCTGAAAGGCTGAGGGCCAGCGAGGGACCATACCTCACAGCATGGCTGAGAAGAGGTTTTATAGACAAAAAAAAACAAAAACCAACAAAAACCTATATCCTTATCATTTTTTAACTATTAGTTTCCCCCAACGAACCCTTTTAATTAGGAATATTGTCTGTGGATTCTGTATGGCCATAGCAACAAACTACTGCACCCAGCAGCGAGATCGAGTGCTCTAGGAGACATGGCTGGTGTCAGAAAAGGATAACGAAGGGTGGAGTGTGGAGACATGTCTGATCTCTGCTGTGTGGCAATCGACATTGGACTGGAGGAGAGTGGAGTCTTCTTTTCACAGGAGGTCAGATGTGGCCCCACTTCATTTCCTCACTGACTTTCATATTTCCCTCTATTTCCATTTCAGGGCTAGTTCTCATTAGTTACCGGACTCTCACTGGTCTCCATGTAGATTCTTTGTTCAGAAGTTCGCTGACGTTAAACACTGAAATCACCAAGTTCCCTTCAATGCTGCTAAACCACTCCATTTGTTTAAATACTGCCTTGCACCACTGTACTTATGGATATCGAAAACAATAAGTAACTTGAAGAAAAGCAAGACTCCATTTTGCATTTGCTGGTGCAATTATCAACAAGATGAGTTAAGAATTTGAAGTAGTATTTATGGATAGGTTTTCCCCTCCTTTATCCGAAAGCTTCAGAGAGAGAGAGATTTACTGGATGGAAGCATATTCAAGGCAAATGTCCTTCACTAATGCCAAGGGTTAATATGGCTGACCCATTCTCTCAGCACTTCCACGCTCTCCTTCCCCATGTTTCATAAAAGACTTCAGGAGATAATTTTCAAAATGACATCTGATTCAGAGTCCTGCCTAATGTACTATAAACCAGGGGTTGGCAAAAGCCTGTAGGTCAAATCATGTTTACCGGCTGTTTTTGCACAGACTTACAAGCTAAGACTGGCTTTGATATTTTTCTATACTTGACAACAAATCAAGAGTATCATATTTTATGACATGTAAAAGGTAAATGAAATTCATATCTGTCTCCATAAATAAAGCGTTATTGTCATGCAGCCATGCTCACTCACTTGTGTGCATAGTGTGTCTAGGGTTGCTTTTGTACTACAATGCCCAATTAGGTCATTGTGACAGAGTTTGTATGATCACAATCCTAAAGTGTTTAGTATATGGCCTTTATGGGAAAAGCATGCCAATACACAGGACATAATCATATGGTTGGAAGGATTTTGAAACTACACCTCAAATCAGGTGTTTTCTACTTGTAAGACATATGAAAATATTCTCCCGATCAAGATAATTCAAATTCCTCCTCCACTTGTGACAGTTAGGTTTTGAGTCAACTGAGCCAGGCCAGGATGCTCAGTGGTTTGGCATTTAAGACCTAACAATTCCTCATGACGTGACCTCCACAATTCAATCTGCTTTGATGGAGCAGTCAACTGGTTTTAAGATTAGTGAGGGATGTGATACCCTTCCTCATGTTGTAGTCCTGGTGCAAATGGAAGGACATTTTCTTTATGGGGTGGTTTGCTTCCTACATAAATGGACACCATGGAAACATTTGCTTGCTTTTTGCTGGGTCTGGATCATGCATCTGGCTCACCACCCTTGAGTTCGTTGGACTTGAACCAGTGACCGACCATATTGCCCGCTGATGCTGGCAGTCATTCAGTCTGATTGACAGCCTTGCATTCATTTCACCTCTGCAGTCATCAGCGTGAAGCAGTTCTGCTGATCTAGGGGCTCATTAGGTCCTGTAGCTACATGAGTCAGGAAAAGCCTCCAGCTTAACATCTGGCCCATGGAAGTGGAACATGCCTGGACTCAGATTTACCTGCCTCTACGATAGTGAGATCCATTTTCCTGATATAAAATTTTACATATATGTACTTATAGAAGCACCACAAATTTGCTTCTCTAGAGGACCCAGCATAAGACATTATCCTACAAAGCCAGGCTCTGTCCCGACTGACAGATTAAGCTACTCATCACACTATTTTCATGTCAAGCTTTCTGAAAATTTCAATAACCAAAGGAGAGTGCCCGGACTTGTTATCTTGTCATTTGAATCTTTTCGCAAATGTACTGTACCATCTTTCCAGGTCACTCTTCCCACTTTTAATCCGAAATGCTTTATTCTAAGAAAATCTAAATCCTATCTTTAGCTTGTGGGTTGTACAAAAACAGCTGGTGAGTAGGATTTGACCTGCAAGCTAAAGTTTCCCTTGGTTGTGACCAAATTATTTATTTCCCAAACACATCAGCCTTAGCTTTGTTTTGGTGCCTTTGAATGTACTCTTTCTACACCTAGAATACTCATATGGTTCTCCTTTATCTTTTTAAGGGCTATTTATCTTTCACATTCAGCTCCATCAAATCTTCCTGAAAAAGCTAATCCTGACATTTTCATCTTGCATAAGTTTATACATCTCTTAACTTCTAGTACTTAATATCGTCATCTCTGTGGTATTTTCTGATGATAACAGTTATGTATTAAAAGGTCAGGGTTCTACTAAAATTGAAAAGATTGCTAAATCTTGATCTCTACTTAGACAAGAGGCCTCTAAAAGGTCCGTGTTATATGCCCCATGATCAAAGGTAGGAGGTGACTGCTGATGCTTCCAGAGCTTCGCAGAAAGGTACGATCATCACCCATCAGTCCCTCTGAGTCATGAAAGACGAGTACTAGACTCTGGGTCTCCTGAGGCTTTTCTATGGTAAGTCAGGGTCTGGAACACTGGAGTAGGGCTAACCTCCTACTGCATTCCTCGTCAGGAAACTAACAGCACGCTGCAGAGGAAA